TTTTTTCATGCTCTACAAGTTATCTTTATAACTTTTTTCTCTACGATGGATAGTTCGCGAAATATTTTACTAAAAGTACGAAAATTCAGGTTAAAAAAAAGGTTAATTGGCCTTTGATCGGTCATATCTCGTTTCCTACCACATTTATCGAAAAACGGTTCAGACATTTTCGTACTTTTAGTAAAATATTTCGCGAACTATCCATCGTAGAGAAAAAAAGTTATAAAGATAACTTGTAGAGCATGAAAAAACCTACAAAATGAGCTATTATAACTTCAAAAATCTTCAATAGAAGTCGAGTTATTCAAAAAACAAATTTTTTGGGGGTTTTTAAGCGTAGCAAATTTGCCTCTTCCTTAATCACTTCGAAAACTTAGAGTTAAGCTTTTTTAGACCCCCCACCCCACATGCCAGAAAAAGAAAATCGCTTTTTCCAATTTTTGCAAGGCAAAATGACAATTTGACTGGACTATTATCACAGTGGAAAACAAATGGAAAAATATTTTTCGACGTATTGAATGTACCAGTTTGAACCGATTTCGTAATTGCTTTCAGAAGGTGCGATTAGTTTCGGTAGATTTCACTTCTCTTCGATCGATCTATTTTCGATCCGCTGTTATTCCTTTTGAAAATAGCACACTCGGCTACAAGATAACTCGTAAAAAAGTCATCGGTCTTGCGTTAAAACGTGTCATATTTTTATAATGCATACCGTGTACAAAGCTATCACCGTGTACTCGTTGTATGAATTTTGGAACTGCGCGGCTCATTAGCATTGATAGCTATCATTAATGTTAATTAATGATAGTTAAGTGCTATCATTATGGCATGGCGTATCGCTTCACGCAATTTTCACATTGCGGCTTTATGAGTGTAAAAATATACGGCGCCAAGACCGAGTGGAGAATTAGTTTCTAATTCTAGAACATTACAAATAAAAGTTTCTTTTTGTTCGAACTAGGCCCGATTGTACCAACAACGTCATTTAGTATTTTAACTTTAAACGAGGCTTAAAACTCCCCCCCCCCTCTCTCTCTTTCAGCTGTAAAAGAGAAAAAGAGAGAGTTCTAAGCCTCACTTAATTCTTCGTGTCGTGTATTTTTGTATCGAACCGATAAATAATTATTTTTGCAAAAATAAATCAAAATTATTTTTCCCAGTAGACAAATATCTTGTCTACATAATAAATCAAACATGATATACATAAAATAAGTTCACAGTGTTTTTTTTTAAACAAATTTAGTAAATATAACAAAAAATTTAATAAATATAAAAAATAAATATAATAAAAATCGAAGAAGGAAAGTAATAGCTGTATAGTTATACAACTATATTATAACTGAAAGGATTGACTACAGTTAAAAAGATTTGTTCGCATCACATGTTCCAACATGTTTCAACATGCTTCTACCATAGCTTGTATTCGTTCCAACGAGCACGTTGAAGTAAGTAGGAATTAAAACTCCTGTTGGAGCATGCACATAAACAACCTTAAAGCTTATTCTACTGTTGTGTAAGCGTAGCTGTAAGTGATTGTAGTTGCAAGAATCGACCAATCAGTAGAATATTCTCCTCATGCTCGACGGTGATTGGTCAATTCTTACCTTAAAGTAACGTTGGTGGAATTGGGCCTTGTGCGTATATATTGCTTGTGTCATTATTTCTGTATAATTGAGATACTAAAAAAAAATTCTAATTGAAAATAAGCGAATTTTAGTTGAGATAACTGGTTGATACAATAAAATTTATTAGAATTTTTATTTTTTTACCAGATCATTTAAATTTAGAATAATTATATCAATTAAAATTCTCTCCAGTTATGTCAACTATAAATTTATAATAGATTTAACAAAAAAAATTCTGTGGATTCGTCCATTTTCCGGCAAAATTACTATTTAATCCATCCAGATCATTTCTCTCAGTGATATTTATAAGATTTTTATTTGAATGACCCGATCGGCGTCGAAACGTTTGCAATTATTTTTATTTCTTTGTTTTGAATTAAACGTTCCTTATATTACAAAATTGGCTCTTAGCCCTTCAATTGTTCTATTTTGTTCCATACAAAAAATTGTGAGACATTTTAGTGATTTAACACCGAAAGGTTATTGAATAAGAGACAACTATCGGAATAATAAAAAAAAGAGTAATACAAACAGTGTCAAGCAAAATAATCAATCATTTAAATGAATGACGAGCTATGTAACAATGCTATTGTATGCGGCTGCTTTATCCTTGGAAGATATGAAGTATTATTAGTTATGAGGGAAACACTGTCACTGCTCACTCACTCGTCTATGCATATCGCGACATTGAGATGCACCGATAAAATTGGATGCATCGCCTCGCGAGCGACACTAGCGTGCACTTTCCTGGATCCCGTGCGATCTACATACACGAGCCGGCACGTAACGTCGGCGTCTCGACTGAATCCGATTTTGCTGTATGTGGCATGTATGAGATCGCGTGGCGCGCAGGAAATTCTGTTTATCCGTCCGCGAAACTGCGCGGTGGCGCGTGGCCATCTTGCACGTTCGTAAAATGGTCTGCTTCTTCTCTCAGCTGTCCCCGCTCAACCCCCGTTCAACGGCCCGGTCGTCGCGACAAAGGGCGACCGGCACGTGTTCCTCGATGTTTATTAATAAACCCCGACGGTCGTGCCCGACAATTTTGCCGAGCCAGTACGTCTGGAAACGGACGCAGGTGATAGCGCTTCTGGCTGAAAAATTGCTCAGAGTGACACCCGTGGTTACGAATAGCCTATCGTTCATAGTATACCACTGGTGAAAAACATTTTGGACACACCGAACCAAATTTATTAAATCTTAATACATAGTTCTTTAAATAGTACTTGTAAGTGAATAAACTTACAAGTAACTTTATTGAGTAAATAAACTTTTACATTTATTAAATAAGTATGTACTTGTTAGAGCTATTCAAAATAAGCTATATTTAAGATTATATTTTATATACGTATGAAAAAATTATACTTAAATTTCAAATTCAAATTAAAACGATAATGCAAAAATTAATGTATATTTTTAAATTAACTTTATCTTCATTACATATAATAATTGAAAATAAGCCAACCATAAAGATATGCTCTGGAAGCAATTCAATCAGAATCACATATGACTGCTTTTCTTTTCCGTGGAAAGCGCGTGAAAGAAACTTCATAAGTTTGCATAAGAACGTGGAAGTTATTTACTCGCGAAAGTCCGCTGCGATTTTTCTGCTCGTCTTATCTTAAGAGGTAACGGGACTGGTCTAAGTCGAGTTATGTTAATGTTCGATGTCCTTCCGGAAGTTCGCTAAATTTTATGAATTTTATGAAAGGTCGTAAAAGTTGAATACAGAATCCATTGTCCACACAAAGTACCTGTCCTTCTGCCTTGTCTCTACTACAATAATACCGAAAATCGAAGTAATACTGATTACTTCAATTTTAATTTAAATCTTTTGATATATATACATATATATATATAAACGAAATTTCTTAAAAATATCTATGAATGTTTGGAATTAAATTGACTATAAAATAATTTACTAAATTTTTAATAAGCATTTGTTTAAAATAATGATACTTAAATTATAATTGTTCTTGTACTAAATAAATATATATTTAAACTTAGCAAATATTTTTCAGTATAAATTATACATGTAATTATGTATACGCTTTATGAAATCAAATCTCTATCTCGACAAATTGTACATAATATATATATATATATTATTTTACTACGTTTGTATAAAGAATTCTGTATAGGATGTGACGTAACAATGTAAATTTTGAAGAGGCCGTACGAAATTGTTAATCCCTCTAGTAGCACGGAACGAGAGTATTCTTTCTTTTTTCAGCATTCTAACGTGTGATCAGCGTTGTTTTCTTGTGGATATTTCCGATACAGAAAAATATGTATAAGCCACGCAATTTTCACGCTATCGACGGACAACAACAAGTAGCACACGACGCTTCTTCGGATCGCTCGCGAATCGTTGACGTATAAACTTTCAGCAGACGTACAACGCTTATTGTCAATCGTGCTTCAACAAGTGTTCCTGCATGAGATGCAAACAATTTGATAATGACGTTATCGCCTGCGTAGCGAGGCTCGCTGTCGCATACAAACGTATAAACTTGCCGCGACAAGTTTTACAGAAAGATGCGGACACATGCCAAATTAGTATCTGAAAGAGAGAAATTGTTTCGAAATTTATTTGACAGCTACACGTCGTAGGATCGTATACTTGTAAAGTTTGCAAAAAAAAAAAACGAAATATACAAATTCTTTCTAAAATTGATTAAATTTATATGAACATACGTGTAGCAGAATAATTAAAAAACATACAGATCTTTGTAAACAGCTGTAAAATTTAAGCAATGAAAAGTTACGTGTGTCTACTACTAATTATTAATAGTATATTTAAAGGCATCAGAAGTAATTTTTTATACTTATTCCTTTTATACTTCTATTTAAAAAAATAAACAAATGGAAATTTATATTACGATATTTTGGCCCGATTTTTCATTATCTGGTTAACTCGTAGTTTAGATTTAACTTCACTTAATGATAACGTAAAAATTATTAAATTAATTTTACACGATACACAATTAATTATTAAACTAATGGTTTTATAGTTGTAACTTTATATATATATTATATATAGACTCCGATTTTTCTGGTTAACTAGTTGTTTCATCAGGCTTAACCTGTTTCATCCAATGGACTTCACCTATGATGTCATAATGTGGGGTTTAAGCAATCGTTAGGTTAAACATAATTACAAGTTAATCAGATGACGAAAAATTAAACCTAGCAGTTGTTCACCACAAAACCATCAGTTTGATGATTAACCACAAATAGAAAAACACAATTTTTACAATCATCAAATTAAGCCTAACCATTATAACCGAAAAATGAAAAATTGAATCTTAAAACACCAGATTTGTTTTGGATAACGCGTTTTTTTACTTGCACTTCCGCAATTAATTCGCGTACATCCAACAACTTTTCGTGAAACCTAACGAGAGCTATGTGTGTCGCACGTGTTTTTCGAAAGACTGGCCTTTGTGACTTTGGCCGAGAGGATATTTTCGCGGGTACTTTCATGAAGCGGCGTGGCAATTGGCCAGTGCCGAACGACACGCCGTACATGCTCGACACGACCGAAAAACGATGACGTTTTCTACGTTATGCGTCGCGATGGGAACTTCGTCGCCAAAGTGCGGCGCGTCTAATAAGTGTACATTCTTCTCATGCTGCACCACGGGGTGTCCACATAGTCCACGTGTGAGCTATTAAAACCCAGTGTTTCTCAACAAGTAGGTATTCGCGAACGCTTAAAACATTCCGCGAAGTGTTCGTCGCAAGCAAAGCACATCCTGCGCGAGCTTAGGATGCTATTTCTTTCGAGCGTTTTTGTCACACACGACAAACTTGTACAGAACAGAGAAGTCCTTGAATCTCTCTCTCTCTAACCTATAACCAATCATTAGGCTTAAAAAATTTGTCGTACGATAAAAACGCACAAATAAAACAGCGGCCTTATTCGTCGCGACGGAAACAGATTCTATATTGCGCGCGAGCAATACACCTCGTCGGAAGAACAACGTTCCACGAAACACGGTCAGTGAATATATAACTGGAAATTCGTCGAAATTCTCGTGTCTCGCAATCGTCAAGGATTTCTGTCGCGCGCGGTGTGCTTCCACCGGCTTACGAGCCAGCCGGCCGCGTACGGCTATTGTTTCTACCCTCCGTAAGCCGTGCCTCTTATTACCAAAAGGGTTGAAACTGCCTGCCTTTACTACGCCAGTAGTGGTCGACAGTGCATTTTCGTACTGTGACTCCGCGAAACTCGAAAATATTAGCTATCATGAACTGAACAGTATTTTTTCTCTGACATTACTCTTGTTTGCAAAAAGGATTGAAAAGGATTTATTTTATAAATTATAATCTATATAAGAGTTACACACCTGCGTCATCTTATACCAATGTAGAAATTGAATATGGATACATCATACATACGGATTCACTTGATTCAACAATCTTAAATTGTTCTTGAATTATTTGTTGAGAAAGTGTTTCAAAAGAAAATTGCACGGTGTCAAGAGGAACATAATTTTACGCACAATCGCATCCGATATTTCAAGCCGTAGTTAAAGAAGAATTTAAGATGGTTAACTTGCAAATTATAGGATACATTACTCTGTATGTTATTTTAGACTTGTGATGATTTAGGAGCCTAGATTTTAAATTTCATTTGAACACAGTCATGCCTTATGCTGTAACATATTTAGAATATAAATGTTTCACGGAAGTATTATAATCGTAGCGCTGAGGAAAGCGATTTTTCGTGTAAACGTTTCGAACGAACTCGATCAGCTAGGATGTCTAGGGTAGAGGCAAAAGATGGTGAAGGAGGAGAGGGCGGCGATGGCAATACAACAATATGATTATACGGCGTGCTGCACCGGTTTTCTGCAGCAGCTGCCGTCGTTTTGGGGGATCTCGACCGGGAACCGACGGTCGTTCTGTCCAAGTACCAGTAGGAAAGGGCAAAAGGAGGGATGGGCAAGGAGAACAGGCGGGGGCCCGTAGAAGGCCTCTCTGCCCTCCCCGTAGGGCCCGACGCATACAATATGTTCGGGGCAAGAAGAAGCGAGTGTGTTGAAAACGCCGAGTGAGAGGAAAAGGGACGCGACGGGGGAAAAAAGGCCCTTTCTGCCTCTTCTATCGGTATACGCTGAACGCGTTGCAGAAACTCGAAAGACGAGCCGCACGAAAAATGCCCTACTACCTGGTTCCCTCGACCGTTTCGTTCTCTACGTGAGGAGCAAAACTGGCTCTCTTTTCAGGTTTCTTTAGAGAAGAGTGCGAGAAGGAGAGAGCCTTAGATTGGAGGTTATGGTCCTTCCTCCTTGCCCTTTCTTCTCCATCCATATGGCCCTCTTTATCGTACAGGGTAAAGCCCTCTCCGTTCTTCTCTGTTCTGTCGACCCGTCGGATTTTCCCCAATGCAGGGGTTCAATTTCTACGCAAAAGGGAGCTTTATCTGTTTCCTTTGTGTTCGAAGGAGTCATCGATTCGAGCATGCTAGAGAGGGTAGACGAAAGTAAGTGACTACATGTGAGACGAAGCTAAAAAACGAATTTCGTTTTCGTGTAAACGAAGGCCCTCCGGTTGGCAATGGATATTGCGTTGCATTATTGCATTGTAAACGGAATTTTTAAACAGTCGTTCGTGTGACATACTGAATATTTTTTTTTCGTTTATTCTCTTAATTTCTCATGTGAAACTATTGTTATGAAATGTGTATATGATTCTACTGCTATAAACAATAAAACTGGTTTAATATATAATTTCAAAACAAGACAGTGACATTTTAATTCAAGCTGCGTTGGTTACCGATTAGTTTGTATCCGTCGGATTTAAAAAATGCAAATATTGGAAATACATGTTACTTTCTAGACATTAAACACACACATAACACCGCATGAATTCTATTTCAAGTTTTAATAATTTTATATATGTGTTCGTTGTTTTTATCGCTAAATCTACATCATGACATGATTTATTACGTAGAGAAAGTTATTTTAGACATATTACTCATGCGCATGCGATTTTACTTTTGCAAATATGTTAAAAAAAAATTTCGCGCGACTTGACGAAGCTTTCATAGCGTAAGATAGACGATTTTATAAAAGCAAAGTTCTTATCTTTCAATTAAACGAAAGAAACATGTATATTTTACATATTACTCTGTAATTCTATAAAAAATGTACGTTGAAAAATTGATTTAATGCTTAAAATTAATTAATTATATATATATATATATATATCAATCACTTATTAATTACTGTATATTTAGTCTGTAAGCTAATTAGTGTAATTCTACGTTGCGGTAATTGCTTTTTAAGTTCTGCTTGGCGCCTAAGTAGTAGCAATATCTCTTTTTTGTGCGAGAATTTCTTCGCATCCATTTCACTCAATTATAATTCTCCTTTCACTGAAGCCAACGTGAGTGAGCAGAGCAGCGTTTTATAAATCAGCGAAATAAAATTCTTCGAGAGAAAAGTGAATAGCGCGCTTCTTTTACCGTTGTTACAATTGCGATATGCTGACGTGTACGTATCAAAACATGTACATCATTATAGTATACACGTTAAGTATGCATGTCGGCTTAGTTGCACGCTTAAAACCTAATTGTCACGAAACTCGCACACATACATGCATCGAGTTTGCATGACGAAGTGCAACGGTTCTTTCACCCCTCACAGGGGTGAGAATTGTATCTTTTCAGAGCTTCTAAGCTGCACGCGTGCGGCCCCCTTAATTGGACGCGGGTGAATTAGACAGTAACGCGACACACAAATTAATCCTCCCGTAACAAACACACTGCTCCGAGTACAATGTAGACTCAAAGCATCATTAAAACGAATGAAAATGTCATTTATACTGATTTTAAAGAGGCTTAACGTATTATATAATGTGTCATTCTGTTCAAAACATCCGACACCAGAAAAATGAAATATTTCAATAATTAATGAGATTTAGAGAAAAGACGTGAGCCAACGCAGATTAACTATTATTTCATATACATCAATAGCTAAACGTTCAATCATTTTTTTATTTAGTCTTTCTCAGTATACAATAAAGATTAAAAAAGTGATTGAAAAACTACAAACAGTTTACCTATCAATTAATATATTTGAAATAAATAAACTATTACTGTTGCATACTTATATCTGTGTTGGCTCATCATGGCTTTTTTCTAATTTTTTATTAAATTCTAAACTTTAACAAGTACATTTTATTTTAATAAAATTTGTTTAATTAAGTTACCACTTTTTTTATTACTTTTTTCCAAGACAAAATAAAATATAAATAATTCTTTATAAAATAAGAAAAAATGCGGTATACTGTTATATCTATTTTATACAAGAAATGAAAGAAAGTAAAATTGTTCTCTCGTGTAGTATTTAACTGGAGTACTCTCTTTGAAGCATAGATATGAAAATACATTATATCGATTCCAGTATTAAAATATTTTGTTCCCTTTATACATATATAGTAGTAGAAAAAAAAATATATGTATATAAAGAATTTCTACTACTACATAAATGCTTCATGAAATGATAACATTTTAAATTTAGAAAGTTAAGAATTAATTGGTATTTAAGAAAAAAAATAGAGAACTTTAGATTGATCCCTTTGGCAAATTAGTCATGATTAAAATTTCTAAAATTACCTATACAAAATTTTTCTATTTTTTTTAAATTCTCAGTATAAAATATACATCTATTGTATCATTAGCCTTCCATATAAATTTTTTCGAAATTCAATTTTAATCTTATAGAAAAATTTATACTTAAAAATATCGATCAATTAATACGGACTCCTCTATTAGCAATTAATACATATGAAAAAATGATGGGCTTAGGAGTGCGGAATAAAGTGCGCAAGTATATTTTGTAAGACAATTTTAATTATATATTGTCTTATAGTACAATATACACTTGCACCCTTTGTTTCGCGTTGAGGACCATTTTTTCATATGTATTACAAATATCAATTTCGTTAATTATTAAAATCAAATTACTATAAAAATATTTTTAGTTTTATCATTTTATGTTTACATCTTTTCTCTCCTTTTAATATGAATTTTTTCTATTTCCAGAATAGGAAGTATTCCGTGTCTAAATGCTGCACGGTTTGCGGCGTTATTAACGTTGACCGAGGTACAAAAGAACGTGTCAAGATTGAGCAAGTCGTTGTTCCGTCCGGCGGTGATCTCGCCAAAATTTGGAGGATGCTGATGCCGGGTGCCGCGGGTCTCGGTGTGGGCGCAGTTGGCGCTGTGGGTACTGTGAGTGCCCCAGCGCCCGATGAATTGGTACAAGGATTGGGTGCCCTTGCCGGCACCACACCACAGCAAAAGGACACTACATGGACAAAGCTATTCGTCGGTGGCTTGCCCTACCACACCACCGATAAGAGTCTTAGGGAACATTTTAACGTTTACGGAGATATCGAGGAGGCGGTCGTCATCACGGACAGACAGACCGGTAAAAGCAGGGGTTATGGCTTTGTAAGTAATTACGTATTAATATATTTGCTAATATACTTGCATGTATTCGATTTAATGTGATATTCGATCTAAATCGAGGGTATGTTAAGTTAGCACCCCAACTATAGTACTCAGGAGTTCTGATTAGAGTTCCCACTTCCTTTTGACGAGACGAAGAGTTCCCTATAGTTAATAGCAAGAGTTCCGCTCAATAAACATTTTTTTTACATTTTTTAAAAATGGGGTGCTAACTTTTTATCGAATTTCGAGGTGGAATAATTCTGAGCGGCTTAATAGATTCAATTTGCGATTGCCTATAGAGTTCCTGATATGTAAAAAAAATTTCGAATAATAAAAAAAAAATTAAAAATTTTTTAAAAATTAATTTTTAGATACAATAGTTCTGATGATAATTCCTGCTTCTTTTTGACGATACGAAGAGTTCTCTATGATTTTTAATGACATATGCGCTTAATAATCATTTTTTAATAATTTTTTTAAAATGGGGTGCTAACTTTTTAATGAAATTTAAGGTCGCATAGTTCTGATCAACTTAACAGAAGTATTTTGTGAATACCTAGAGTTCTTGATACATAAAAAACATTTTTGAAGAATAATAAAGTTTAAAAAAAATAGTAGAAATCTTCGAAAATTTTTTTGAGAGTACCGAGTAGTTCTGATTAGCGTTTCTTATAGTACTCGACGAGTTCTATCGAAAACTGTAAGGTGGAAAAGCGATTGGACCAACGGTTTGCAAGATACAGCGACATTTGTCAGAAGATCAACAATTTTTAAAGTGAGTATATCTCGGAAACCGTTGGTCCAATCGCTTTGAGCCCTGATACTTTTCGACAGAACTCG